AGGAAGGAAGGAAGGAAGGAAGGAAGGAAGGAAGGAAGGAAGGAAGGAAGGAGACAACCAAGTCTATCCTTTTTTTTTTTTTTACTTTTATTAGTTACACTTTATTCACTTTGTATCTGCCCCATAAACCCCTCCCTTCTCCCCTCCTAATCCTACCTTCCCTCACCCTTCTTCATGCATGCCCCTCCCCAAGTCCACTGATAGGGGAGGTCCCCCTCTCCTTCCTTCTGATCTTAGTCTATCAAATCTCATCAGGAATGGCTGCGTTGTCATCTTCTCCAGCCAATCTGTGGCCTGTAAGGCTGCTCCCCCCTCAGGGGGAAGTGATCAAAGAGCAGGCCAATCAATTTATGTCAGAGGCAGTCCCTGTTCCCATTACTATGGAACCCACTTGGACATTGAACTGCCATGGGCTAGATCTGTGCAGGGGTTCTAGGTTATAACCAAGTCTATCTTGATGAACTTCATTAGGTTTACAGTGACTTCATTAGGTTTACATCCGGAAGCAAGAGTGACTCTGAGCCACATCACAGAAAGGGGCACGTTAACACAAGTCATGCCTCACAAAAGCTGCATCCCATGGAAGAGCTGCCTGTCCAAATGTCAGATGCCCCCACACACACACACTGAAGAGCCCCCTGCCTCAGCAAGATTTTGCTGCTTACATGAACTCTGTGAGGCTCCCTGCGGGTCATAACTGCTTGGCTTTCTCGAGCCTTGTGTTCTGTGAGTTTCCTAAATTTAGTTAACTTTCTGAGTACTGGGACTCACTCCACCCAGAGTGTTTCCGTTTAGAGGGTACAGCCACACAATACACCCTCGCACCTTGTCCCTTAAGATTCTAAGTCCTAGATGAGGATCCCCAAGCCGGGTACCAGTTTTCACATCTTACCTGATACAGAGATGACTCCACCTCCCACAAGGAGTCCAAAGCCACTTCCAATGGCACTGAGCCTGAGTTCAAATTCAAGCCATGGAGCAAAAGCAAGAACTTCACTGCCACATGTATCCTAATGGCCCGTGGGGCTTACCTTTGCTCTCAGTGCATAGATGGCCTCAGTGGCAATGGGACCTGCATTTGTGAGGATGGCTTCCAAGGCTCCAAGTGTCAGTTCTGCTCTGACCCCAACAGATACGGACCTCGCTGTAGCAGAGGTAAGTGTGGCATCCACAGCCCCCCTCACACTGAGCGTGCTGATGGTGTGGTCTGCTGTCTTGTGGATTTTGCTTGCAGTATGTCATCATGACAGTGCGGGTTTCTTAAGCACTGCTTCTCTGTAGCACGTGTCAGACAGGCAGGCACGGGCTGCTGAGTTCTGATTCTCTCTGGGATGACTGAAAAACAGCATTTTTAACAGGTTCCTGGGGGGTGCTGGCAATCCCATTTAGGAACCCCATTCTGGAAACCACTTTCTATGCCCATGAAGACATAGTCCACTTCAAGAACTAGATCTGCTCTCTTTCAAATAACTCTTACCCATCAGTTCTTCCATTTAAGAATTATGACCTCAGCCAAGTGATGGTGGCAGTGGCGCATGCCTGTGATCCCAGCACTCAGAAGGAAGAGGCAGATGAATCTCTGTGAGTTCGAGGACAGCCTGGTCTACAGAGTGAGTTCCAGGATAGGCAAGGCTCCATGGAAAAATTCTGTCTCACCCCTCTCATACCGCCCCCCACAAAAAATTAAGATCTTGATGGGTGCACCCTTGAACTGCAAAATAAGGGTGAAAGCACTAGTAAGTATTTTGTAAATTCACTCTAACTTATATATGGAAAGCTTTCCCTAAGACATGACTAGCACATAGTGCATACTGAAAACATGCTAGCTACTACTGTGACCTCTTACTGGTTTAGCTGTTATTCTAAGAACAGTAACCATACCTCAGTGGTTTGCATACCATAAGACCTATAGAACACATGGAACATTCCACAACAGACATGTACAAATGCACTCCTATGCTCTCAGAAAATGATAGTCTTTAAAATGTCATCATATGTATACTTCATTATATATATATTTTTAGATGTCTATTTTGAAGTTAAAATTGGAACTCAGCAGAGTGAAATGAATCAATAAGGGCTTCCTATGGAGTCAGACCAACCAAAAGCTAAATTCTCATCTCTCTAAGGAGTGGCTGTGTGACCAGATGGGATTTCCAGACTCTTTCCTTTGATTTCCAACATCTTTCCTGGATGTTGGCTCTAGCTACCGGTCTCTGTTGGTTCCTGTCTCCTTTATCCTGGCTGGAGCAAGGCCCAGAGCCTTTCAGTTAGATGGCATTCAAGCCCAATCTTTGCAGCTTTCCTTTGAGAAACTCCACGTCTCTCCCTCCTTCTTAACTCTGTCTTCATGCACAGGTGCCTGAAGGGTGTGTGTGTGTATGTTAGAGAGAGAAAGAGTTTGTATGCATGTGGCAGTTTATATACACGTGGGAGTGTATACACATGTTCATGTGAGTACATGTGCATGGTGATGTACATACATACACATATTAGAGGGCAGAGGTAACCCCTGGGTATCTTTCCTTAAGGTCCAATTACCTTGTTGCCTGAGATAGGGTCCCTCATCAGTCAATGACCCAATGAACCCACCTGTTTCTACCTCCCTGGTGCTGGAATTACAAGCACAGGTCACCATGTCTGGGTTGTTTGGTTGTTTGCTTGTTGTTTCTACTGGGTTCTGGGGATTGAACCTGGGTCCTCAGGCTTGCACAGCAAGCACTTTTCTGATTGAACTAAGCCCCCACTTTGAACTTTTCAGATACTAATATTCAGCAGCAAGGCAAAGCAGCTAAGGTTTAAAATGACAGGAGCTGTGGAAGTGCTGGTTAACATTGTGGCCCACTATGAGTTCAGTCACTGTAGACGTGAACTTGACAGCACAGGCTCAAGTCCCTGCATGGGAACTCGGAGGCAAACTGTGTGGTTTGTCTCAGCCCCTGGGCCTCTACCTATGCATCTGGAAAGTAGAATGTACCTGCCTTCTGGGACTGAGGGTGGTTAGTGAAGACAGGGAAAAGCCAGTCCAGGGCCTTGAATGATATCAAGGCCCAAATACTGGCTACCAATTATCACTGCTTTGCTGTGAATCAAAGTCGAGGATTAGCACGTGAGCCCATCTGGAGTTTTACAAACAAATCGAAGTTTGTCTATTCTAGAATGTTTTCAGAAAGTGAGAAACCTCTCAGCTAACATCTCCAACCACTAAGTAGTTGAAAATTGGGCTCCCTGGCTTCTTTGGCCACATCACAAACCATCTCCTTCCCTGCACCCACACACAGATACATTTGAAGCGCACTGGAGACCATCATACCCTCCTTCTGGGGGACAGTCAGCTCAACAAGGCTGCCCCTGGCAGTCTGAGAAAGGCTGGTGACCCTGAGTTCAGCACAGCTCTGATTCAACAGCAGTGGTTCTGGGGAGGATGGTACCTTGGTACCATCCTCCAAGGTACTGAGCTCTAATAGCAAATGGTCCTCCAAGCCCTGAACACCCTTTTCACCTCTCTTCCAGCCTGCCTGTGTGTTCATGGAACATGTGACAACAGACTAGACAGCGACGGAGCCTGCCTCCCAGGCACGTGCAGCGAGGGCACAGCTGGGCGGTTCTGTGACAAGCAGACTTCGGCCTGTGGGCCCTATGTGCAGTTCTGTCACATCCACGCCACCTGTGCATACAGCAATGGGACAGCCAGGTAGGTCCCAGCCCAAGGCTACAGTGCCACCTGTGGGTGGAGCCAGCCCGTATCTAACACTTTATAAGGTAGGGCATGTTCTGCCCAGCTGACAGCATGGCTCTTGCAGGAGCTAAGTCTGAGCTTGAATCCAAATCTTAGCTCTCTTTGCTTGGAAAGCAGCAGCTGTGTGACCTTGGGCAAGTTACCTTACCTCTCTGAGCTTCACTCTCCAAATCAGTAGTGATGAACTCTACCTAAGAGAACGATAGTAGAGATTAAAAGAGCCAAAGATAGGAGCATGCTGGCCCAGCCTGGACCGATCATTATGACAAGCACACTGCTGTGCACGTTCCAATTCCAGCACACCAGCAAGAGGACTGCTGCCAGCTCCGGGCAGCCTGAGCCACAGCAAAACCTTGTCTCAAAACTCCAAAGGGGGCAGAGGTAGAGAGGTTCCCTGCATGGGACTCAAAGGAAATTGGGTGGTTTGCCTCAGCTCTCTGGGTCTCTGCCTTAAAAAAAATCAAAAAGGAAACAAGGAAGGAAGGAGGGAGGGAATGAGGGATGGAAAGAGGAGGGAGCGAGGGAATGAAGGATGGAATGAGGAGAGAGGAGGGAGGGAAAAAGGAGGGAGGAAGGGAAAGAGAGAGACAAGGAGAGAGGGAAGAAAGGAAGGGTTATCTGTCCTGCCACTGTGAAGAAATACCCCAAGGAAGTCAATTTAAACACAGAGGAGTTTGTTCACATAGTTTCAAGGGAGTCAGCACACCATGGCAGGGACACCATGACGGTGGGAGCTTAAGGAGCTGGTCACATGACATCTGCAGTTGGAAAATGGAGGGGGAGAACAAGTGTGCTCAGGTTGTTTCTCTTCATTCAGTCTTGGAGTGGAGGCTATGAACAGTGCTGCTGGTGTGCACAGAGCATGCCTTCAAACCTCAGTTAGCTTAATCTACATGATCCCTCACAGATGTGCCCAGAGGCTTCCGTCTTAGGTGATTCAGGGTCTGGTTAACCATGGCAGTTAACCATCCCAGAAGAAAAGCAATGAAATTCCCATGTTTTGAAGGCTCCTTTACCTACAAAAGCTGTCAATAGCAGCTCCTCTGTAAAAGCCATCTGAGGTCAAGTTGAAAGATGAAGAACAGCCAATTGTTTTCTGAACTGTATACCAAGTACAGCAGCCTTAGGGAGTAGAAAATGTCCTAGGAGGCTTGCTATCCTGTAGTTTGAAGGCCGGAACCACCTCAAGCACCTTGGAGGAAACAGAGGATGTCTGGAATCCCGGCCCTGTTCTGGCATCATTTTCTTAAGTTTATTTGCATAGTTTACTTGCTTGTTTTGGGCATAGCAGGCTGGATGAGGGCAAGGACGTGGCTTCTTTCCTGTGGTTACAGGAAAAATCACTGATGAGGAAAATGTCCCCCAGAACCTCCTGCATCACCCACAGTGGGCTGTCTGCATGTCTGCATGACCTCAGCTTGGAGGCCTGAGCTGGAACAAATCAAACTTGTTCTTTGTGTGGCTTCCACACAAAGACACTTCCTCTAGGAAACTAGGTCCTGGACAGTCTACGGTTTTCTTAAGCTCACGTTGCTGAAGCTTCAGAAGGACATGGATGGATGGAAGCTATGTGGTATCCCCAGGCTATCCAAGACACTGATCTAACCAATGAATGAGTGAACAAGGAATGAATGAGCAAATGGCCCACGTTAAATAGAAAAGTTATTGTGGTAGGAGATTTCGGAAGGTATGTCTGAAAAGAGAGTGAAACTGTCATCTCACAGGAGGTACAACTGAGTGTGGTCACACACATGCATGTAGTGTGTGTGTGTGTGTGTGTGTGTGTGTGTGTGTGTGTGTGTGTAGTGGGAGGTGGTATGTGAAGGACCAAAGAAGGAAAGAGAGGTCTCACCTGATTGACACGTTCAGTATTTTCAGGCATGTACTACAGATAGTTTTATCTTAAACTAGCATAAACACAAGGTTATAAACAGTCAAATTCTGGTCCAGGAAGAGCAGGCCAGCTGCCATCACTGCACCTAATGGTGCCAAGCTCACCCCAAAAATTAGGCCCGTTTTTCCAAGTGAGGAGACAGTGTCCCAGCTGGGAAGAGACTCGGGTGAGCCACACAATGGGTAAGGTTGGGCTCAGATTCCCACCCAGCCCTGACTGCCAACCCCCCAAAATCATCCACCCTTGCTTGCAAACCCAGGCTTCTTGCACAAAACTAATCGCTAATCACGTCCAGCTCCTCTCTGGCTGGCTACATGTGCCTGCAGGGTGGGTGCTAGGCATCTCAGGCTGATTCTGTGCATTTTCTCCTTCACAGCTGTGTCTGCAATGAGGGCTACGAAGGAGGTGGAACTCTCTGTTCTAAGAAGGACCCTTGCATGGACTCGACCAGAGGAGGCTGCAGTCAGAATGTGAGTGTTGTGTAGCCAGGTGCCCTGGGCTTCCTTTTGTGTCATTCTGTTTACTTTTTTGTAAGTAGGTGCAGCAAGAAGCCACCAATCAAAGCCTCTCCGTGGCAATGAAAGCAGTTAGGCAAGGGGAAAAGTAACCTGCCATGGTGCCTCGGATAGCAGAAGACAGTGACGGCTGCAAAAGCTCGTTGGGTTTTATATGGTTAGGTGATGGGGGAGGCAGCTCCGGCTGGGGTAGCAGGTGGTTAGCATGGCATTCTTTGAGACAGATGAGGTGCTGACAGTTGAAGGCAGAGGCGTTCAGCCAGCCGTGAAGGGCTTCTGAGAAATGCTATAGGTCTCTGTGTCTCGGAAAACCCAGCCCAGGCGGGAACAGAGCCGTAATGCTACATTGCCACCAGCACTGACATCTGGAGAGGGTTTTATGACCTAACACTTTTTAAAGAACTCTTAGAGGAAGAGACATCCCAAAAGGCAGTGCCTGATGACTCTTCATATGCACAAAGCACATAGGTTTGAACTTGAAAATGTATTTTTGTATTAGAATTTTTGAAACAGCATACAAAGTAATGGAGTTTGGCTTCTTTTTCTTCTTCCCCCAATCCCCTCCCATCTCCTTGCCCTCCTACCTTGGTCCTCTCCCTGTCCTCACTAGCCCCCATCTGCCTTCCTGTCACAGATATTCCATTAGCTTAGTCCCTCCATTCTTTCCACAATAATGCATGGGAGTAGGAAAAGGACATGAAGGGAGAGGAAGGGGAAGGCAGCTGGGAGGAACAGGCCATAAAAGCAGAGAACTGAAGATGACAGAAGTATATTATAGATGTATATGATATGTCATAATGAAGCCCATTAGTTTAAACAACTGATTCTCCATCCCACTGCACACACATATGCATGCGCACACACACAAATTATGATCTCAGATCCATATATAGGAGAAAACATGTGGCATTTGTCTTTGCAAACTTTGCACTTGAAGAAGGCTATCTGGTAGGTGTGCTCTGTGACTTCACTAATTCAGATCTGTGGGCTCTGGGAAGATGAGGTGTGCAAACACCCTTGCTTCAGGCTCCGTAACTAACAAGGACTCTAGTGTACCTGATATCCTTTATTCCTTGCATTAGCCCAATGAGGTCCACATGTTAGCCTTGCCCTCCTAAGGAGAAAGCAGTCTCAGGAGAATTAAGAAACTTGTCTACAGCCAGGTGTGGTGCTACACACCTTGAATCCCAAGCACTCAGGAGGCAGAGGCAGATCTCTGTGAGTTCCAGCCAGCCTGGTCTACAGAGCAAGGCCAGGATAGCCAAGGCTACACAGAGAAACCCTGTCTCGAAAAGAAGAAGAAGAAGAAGAAGAAGAAGAAGAAGAAGAAGAAGAAGAAGAAGAAGAAGAAGAAGAAGAAGAAGGAAAAGAAACTCGCCTACATTTTGCTTGTGTTAGTATAGCCAGGCCTGCCATTGTTTTTACTAGTATCTCTCAAACATTGCTACCACCACCTGACATCACCTCTTGCATTCATTACCACAGTTGAGCAGTAGGTTGGCTTGCTTCCCCTGGCACTAACCAGGTGCATGTGGCCAGAGTTGTTTGAAGCAAATCATGTCTCTGAGGCTTAACCCCTTTCAGAGACTTCCCTGGGCCTAGGGATGAAATCTAGACTCAACTTCAGGCCCTGCCCACCAGATTTCCTGGTAACCGGGCCCTGCCCACTGCAGAGCACCCCAACTCAATAACTTCTGGTCCTCTCCTCTTTCCTTGGGTCCTTCAGCCTCCTACAGTCTCCCTGCAGATGGCTACCTTTCTTGTTGTTGTAACAAACACTTACAAAAGAAATTCAGGAACAAAGTGTGTGTTTTAGCTCCCAGTTCAGGAGTGTGATCTTTCGTGTGGCCTGGCCCCAGAAATCTAGGGAGCTGGTCATATGGCATCTTCAGTTAAAAAGCAGAGACACATGTCGGTGCTCAGCTCTTCCCTCCTGTTCACTCTGTGCAGGACTTCAACCCATGACATGGCACCACCCACATTTAGGGTGGGTCTTCTCGCCTCAGCTGCACTAATCTAGAAACTCTGGCAGACGCGCCCAGAGGTCCATTTCCTATGTGACTCTAGATGCTGTCAAGTTGACAACATAATCATCACACCCTCCAATCGAGAGTCGTAGTATTGCTTAGAGGAGCTTGGACACCAACATCATGGAGCCTAAGATTCATACTTCTCTCTATAGCTGTGGGGACACCTCTTCCCCCAAAGATAAATAAAAATAATCATAGTGCTTGCTTGTAGAGCAGTGGTTCTCAACCTGTGGGTTGCAACCCCTTTGGAGGTCAAATGACCTTTTCATAGGGGTCATTAGGCTTCATAACAGCAGCAAAATTGCAGTTATAAAGTAGAAAAAAACTAACTTTACGTTTGGGTGCTCACCACAACATGAGGAACTGTACTAAAGAGTCACAACATCATGAGGGTTGAGAACCCCTGCTCCTAAGGACCATTTACTCTTTAAATCAATAGAAGCAATCTCTGGCTGAGTCAGTAACAGAGCACTGTGAGTGCTGTAGCCCTTAGCTGACCAGTTCCAAGCAGTCCCACTCTCAGAATCACCCAGTTAGTTTATTATGTTCATGTGGAAAAGCATTTCCATCATGTCCATTGTATTCCACATGCAAATATGTGTTTCTAGAACATTCTTCCAGATCCCTTCCAGCTTTGGGGACCCTATGCAGCTGGACTGTGGTTTCAAAGGTCTTGCTTTTATTCTTCCTCCTGCAGGCAGAATGCATTCAAACTGCCACAGGGACACACAGCTGTGTGTGCCAGCGGGGCTGGACAGGGAACGGAAGAGACTGTGTGGAGATCAACAGCTGCCTGTTGCCCGGTGCAGGTGGCTGCCATGACAATGCTACCTGTTTATATGTAGGCCCTGGGCAGGTAGGTAACTTGGGAAAGAAAAAAAAAAAAAAAAAGAGGAAATGGGATTCCTTTTTTTTTTTTTTTTTTAATCATAATCACAGAAGTACTTTGGTTCAAAGCACTTTGCCCTCAGTTGTGGTAGGGAGAACGGGTTAATTATAATGAGTCTTTGACATCGGAGTCATTGTGATGCCACCTTACAGAAAAGGAACTATGCCACTGAGATTTTAGCGATGTGCCCTGTGGCACAGAAAATCAGCCAGTCACACTATGATTCACACAGAGTCAGAATTCAGAGATGCTCAGTCATTTCCCCACCCCCCATGGATCACACACAAATCTCTAGAACATTCTGTAGCTTGTTACTCAATTTTAGGTGGCTTCATTTCATGAAAAGAGGCAGAGGCTGCTGACTGGGAATTAGTGAGTTACAGAGGAGGAGATACAACTACATTAAGATTGTGGCCATGGACATGATAGTTTCCCACTTCTCATCCATTCCTCCTGGCCCCTCCTCTCCCCCAAAACAGTCCGGTATGCTCTATAGGGCCAACAAAACATAAAGCCTAGAAGGTAAGGACCAGAAAATTCTCCCTCACATACATCATTTTGAATGATGACATAAATTCTCACACTTGCTTTTTAAAGCTGGACTTAAACCTTCAGATTATTTTATTAAGTATGTTCCCCATGGGGTTGGGCACAGCATAAGGCCTAACCTGGCTTCCTGTGATGGCCCTAGGCCTTCCGTCACAAGCCTTCTGCCTTAGACGGCACATTCCCTTGCATGTGCTAGGAACTGGGGCAGCATGTGCTTGAATGGCGCTGGGTGAGACCTGAGGCCAGATCATGCCTCTCCTTTGCTCAAGGATAGAAATCACCAAACAATTAAAGGTCTGGCCCAGTTAAGGTGCCAGAGAAGGATGTTTCTGGGTTCTTCAGATGCTGTCCTTTCTCTTCCCTCTTCCCAACTCCAGGAACGAGGGACGGAGCCTCTCTCCTGTAGATGCAGAGCAGGGCTAACACTTGTGAGGCAGTAGGTGGCTGGCTAGCCCTTAGAGTACTGGGACTCCTTGGGATCTTCTTGCAAGCATTTCTAGTTATATCCCTTTGCGTGGCTAAAGGGTAGTGAAGGTGATTAGAAGAAAGTGTGAAAGGAAATGGGAGTGTGCAGCCAAGAACATGCAGGATACCACCTGGCAACTTCCCTCTCCAAGAGCCAGCCCAAGCAAACTTCCAGCTCCCTCCTGGTCAAGGTCTGTTCATACAGTGCTGCGGTCTCACTGTGCTAAAATATCTCAGTAACTTACAGCACATCTTAGTTACTGTTCTACTGCTGTGAAGAGACACCATCTCTAAGGCAGCTTACAAAAAAAAGCATTTAATTGGGGAACAGCATACAGTTTCAGAGGGTGATTTCACGACCCTCATGGTGAAGAGCATGACAACAGGCCAGCAGGCGTGGTGCTGGAATAGTAGCTAGGACCTTATATTTATCTACAGTTTGGAAGCAGAAAGACAGACAGGCATGCAGGCTAGGCCTGGTGTGGGCTCTTGAAATCCCAAAGCCCATCCCCAGTGACACACTGTTGACAGGCAGATGTTGATGTGGGTGCAATGTGGTGCAGGGATCGGAGGTCAGCACACAGGATGTCTCTGGCCCCAAGTTCTGCCCAGTCTCCTCAGTAAGGGATGCCCTCCAGCAGCTTCAGCCTTACCCTGCCCTCATTGAGGCACAGTGGGGTACATCTGTGACCATTCCTACCAGAACCCATTGATTCTGTTGGCTCAAACTGAACAGTTTCCCAGCCCTCCTCATTCCCATTAGGCCATGGGACAGCAATCAGCCCATAATTGCAGAAATCCAACCCCAGTGGCCAAGATGTGTGCAGGCAGGGACAATTTCAATCTTCACCTCTATACTGGGAACCTGGGCTGAAGGAAATAACCATGCCTTGTTATTATAAACCACAAGAGGGAATAGTGCTGTCCCCAGGCCAAACGGGGTCCTTTTTTCTAGAGAGAGAACAGATGTTTACATTAGCACTCACACATTTGCTCTTCTTGGGACCCACTGAGCTGGGTTTTGGGGATAATCAGTTACTAGGGCTAAGGGCCACAAGTCACCCTGGAGAAACAATCTCATGTAAGATGACAGACCCACATAAGTGGCAAAGTGACAAACGCTTTCAACCCAGACAGAATTAGCGCACATTATGCCTGCCGCTCCACAGCATCTAGTGGTTGCTGTCCTAGTTTCCCCTCTGATCACTCTGACAGCAGTGCCTGCTAATGTGTCTAGGGCAAATGAGCTTGCCAGTGAGCCCCCAGGAGTCTAATCAAGGAGGAGCCCACTGCAGACTCATGCCTCACTGGGCACTTAGTAAATGATTGCACCTTGGTTCATTTGTGTTACCAGGCTGCAGCTGAGAAAAGAAAACATAAAATGTCTTAGTGTCAATATTCATTTTCTAGGGATTAGCATAATGAAAGTACCACCAAGTGAGCAGCAGAAAGCAAACACATTGTCTTATGATCTGGACGCCATGTCAAGGTCAGCTGCGGCCTCCTTCTGGGGGATCCTAGGGAGAGTCTGTCCCTTGCCCCTCTCCTAGCCTGGGGTGGGACTGGCCATCTTTGGCAGAGACACATCACCTGACCTCCATCTTCCCATTCCCATGGCATTCCCTCTGTGCATACATCTCCTATTTTCATGTTTCCACATGGATGTGAGTCCATTAGATTCAGGGTCCACCCTACTCAAATATTACCTTGTCTTAAGTCACTGCCTAATAACTACCCTGTTTCTACATACGATCATGTTTTAGGGTACTTCAGGTCATGACTTCAACATACGAATTTGGGGGTTGGAGAACACAGTTCAGTATGTACAGTGTCTACATCCTCTCCTGCAAACAAATGCTAAATGTCCTGAAGGGATAAAGAAGAAAGAGAGGGTCTCTATAACACATTTAAAAAATCAAATAAGCCCCATCTAAGATTGCCTTCACTCAGTCACAAGTAGTTTGAAAGATTTTTGACACATCAAATGGATACTGACTTTAACTTCTGTGAATATAGCTTTAAAGAGACAAGCCATGTTTGGATCAAATGTAAGAAGTGTTAAGAGTGGGGACATAGAGGTGCTGTCCCAATAAACAGAGGAAATTAGCTCTAGCTTATAAGCTTAGATTCTGCCATGCACAGGATGTGCTTGGGTTTCACGTGGTTATAAAATATTGTACACAGGTGTATAAAATGTACACACTTGCCTTATAAAGCTCACAAAGCAGTGACACTGTTACAGAGAAAATTCATACAATGGATGGTCTTACTCACTTCTTTCCAGAACTGAACAGTGTTATATCAGCCCCAACTGGGGTGTGTTAGACTTTCAGAATCCATCCTAAACATCGTTTCTTCAGCCAGACATGCTTCTTCACCTCTGTTTTTCTCTCCTGACATGTTTCCTCAGTTTGAATGCCTTTCCCAGCTCTTAAAGAGCATTCTCAGAACATTCTAAGCCCACTCCACCCCCTCGGAAGCCCATTCCCATAAGCTCTTCATGAGCCAGTGGCTCCATAAAACTTCTTGTCTTTTATTTTCTTTCCAGCTTGTTAAGCCTCCTGTTCATCTTTTAATGGATTTTTGTCATTCTTTAGATTCATTGTTTAACTCAATTGAAGAAATTCTTTTAAATCATGTTTGGTTTGGTTTGCTTTTTGTTGTGGTGGTTGGTTGGTTGGTTGGTTGGTTGGTTGGTTGGTTGGTTGGTTGGTTGGTTTTCCAAGACAGGGTTTCTTTGTGTAGCCTTGGCTGTCCTGAACTCACTTTGTAGACCAGGCTGGCCTCAAAGTCACAGAGATCCACCTGCCTCTGACTCCCAGGTGCTGGGATTACAGGCTTGACCCACCCATACCCAGCTATATGCACAGATTTTTAATTTCAAAATATCGCAATTTCATGGAAAACAGTTGGGGAAATGGAATAGGGAATTAATTCTGAGCGATGTATTTACACTGAAGTACTCTACTGCAGCTTCATTGGTTCCTTGTCCACCATTAGCATGTTATTTCTCTCATTTTCTCATGTTGCTGTCATGATCATACTTTACTCATTAGCTGCATGCACAGAACCACAGAATATATATTTGGAAGTATATATACTGCTAATGGAGCATGTGAGGGCTGGAATCCAGCCTGCATCCTGCCCACTGTAGGAGGGGACTACGCCATCGGAGAAGAAGGGGCACTTACCAGCTACGTGAAGCTATAGCAGCTGCTGAACCCTATGCTGCAGGCTGTCTCTGCAGGTGTGATGCCTCAAATCCATCTACCCGGTAGGGAGCATCATCTGAACGAAGCAGAGCATCTTCAAGCTAGCAGTAGCCTTCTACACAGCTTTCCACCAAGTGGACAAGACACAGCTTCCTTAATGTTTCTCTTTGGGTGTTGGGTCAACTTTCCCATTGTAGCAGCCATTAAGTCTAAGCTCTCTGGATAGGCCTTTGTGAGGTCCAGAATTTCAACAGAATGTAAAGAGACTATGTTTGGGCAGCATGGTGTTATGTTGTGGCAACCAAGAACAGTTGACTGTGTGCAGTGACTAACAGTGGAATCTAGAGTGTCTGTTCTGTAGTGTGGTTGAATGGCTGTGTTCTCCGTAGTCTGCTTTTCAGTGTAATGGAGAGCACGGCTTGAGAGCTGTCGCTTCAGTAATCCCTTCTGTGTTCTTGGAATCACAGAATGAATGTGAGTGCAAAAAAGGATTCCGAGGAAACGGGATTGATTGTGAACCGGTCATTTCATGCTTGGAACAAACAGAGAAATGTCACCCCCTGGTGAGTCACTTGATGCTTCCTTCAGTATCAACACACACAAAACTCTTAAGAACAAAAATTAGGCTGTGTGGTCACTTCTTGGGGTGATCATAAAAATACCTAAGTGAACAGCTTGAGGAAGAAGGGTTTTGTTTTGTTTTGTTTTTTGGTGGGTGGGGAAGGTTTGGGTTTTTTTGAGACAGGGTTTCTCAGTGTAAGAAGCTCTGGATGTCCTGGACTTGCTTTGTAGACCAGGCTGGCCTTGAACTCACAGAGATACACCTGCCCCTGCTAGGATTAAAGGCATGTGCCACCATGCCCAGGTTTGTTTGGTGCCTTGGTTCAAAGGTTTCAGTGCCTGGTGGCCTGGATGAATGGCCTCTGGGCTGTGTGTGGTAAGGCAGACCATTGTGTCGAGGAGCATGATCAAAGTGCCTCACTTCCTGGTGGACAGGCACCAGAGAGGACGTAGTTGGAAACAAAGCATGACCCCCAGGGTGTATGTCCAGTGACCTACTTCTTCCAACTAGGCCGAACCTCTAGAATTTTTGGCCACCTCCCAGTAATGTCACTAAATTTTAAACCCATCAATAGAGTCAAGTTGATAAAAGCAGACTCTTCCTGATTCAGCCACTTCCCCAAGCCCCACCTCTGAATGTCCTTCATCGGGACCAAGCCATTAACACAGCATTCTTTGGGGAAGACACTTCATATCCAAATCCTAACAGCTCTGTCTTATCCGTGCCTAGCCATGAACAAAATCTTTCACCTCCAAAGGGTGACCCTAGGCAGAATTCAAGCAGCCTGTGCAATCGCCACTCCATTTCAAAGCTTAAAGGAAACAGCTTGGGTTACCAGATAAGATGCCAGGCACCAGCTGAATTTTAATCTAAGATACACAGGGAGTAAGTTTTGGGCAAAGGTTCAGTGTGCCCAAAATATTGCACAAGATGAGTTTATACTAAAATATATTTATCACCTGTCTGAAAATCAAAGTTAACTCTCTCAGATTCTTTTATTTGCTAAATCTGGCAGGGATGAAAAGAAAAAAGTTTGTTGTGGCTGAAAGCAGCAGGAAGAGCATCGTGCTGCAACACTGACACCCTGGGCTGCTTCTACCCGTCTGTCAGCACCGAACTTGCAGGGGTTTTGTTGTTGGTTGTTGTTGTTTTTCCTGTAAAACTGGGGTTCAAACTCAGGGCCAAGTGCAAATAGGCAAGTACTGTACCACATGATTCCCAGGTCTGAACTCAGAGTTCTTACCTTAGGGCCCGCGGTCTCATGGTACATGAGTCCAGTCTAACATCTAGCTGTTTCCTCCATCTTGGTTTTCCAGGCCACCTGTCAGTCTACCTCTTATGGTGTCTGGAGCTGCGTTTGTCAAGAGGGCTATGAAGGAAATGGTCTCCTGTGCTATGGAAATGTGTTCATGGTACGTCCTTGGCGAGAACCTCAAGTGCAGGCAGAGAGAGCACACAGCAGAAAAATGAACATCTCAGCTGAGAGCGCCTTAGGCATGCTCTGTCTGCAGACCCAAAATAAAAGATTTTATATGAAGACAGCTGGGTTTTGCAGGTTCTTACATGTTTGGTGGGTCCCTCCTTTTCCCAGGCTGCAGTGGATTTTATTGGGCACTTTCTACACACAGAGCAGTCCTGACAACTTTTGTTTGCCAATCTGTCTCAGACTTCCTGAGTGAGCTACATGAGATGGCTGTCAGAGCTCCCCTTGGGGTCTCACGGGGTACCCAGAACATACTGGATTTACCCATGTTGTGTGTGTGTGCTCATCCTGATTGAGGGGTGCTCACAGGCATATGTACGGGTGTGCTCACGTGCACATGCAAATGCCTTCTGTGTAGCAAGTTCTTTCCAGGTCCTTTATGAAGCAGCATCTCGTTTAAACCTCACAATAGTTGTCTGGGATTAGTGCTGTTATGATGCCCCTTCCACAGATCAGTAAACAGAGGCTAAGAACACTTACTTGCCTCAGATGTTGGTATCTGTCCATGGGCCAGGCCCAACACTTAATCACCAGTATATTTTATCTGCGTAGTATGGGTCACGCCCAACTGTCACTACCTCTCCATCTCTCCCACAGAAGAGAGCTATAGTCTCAAAGGGGAGCATGTTCACCTTACTCCTATGTCACATTTAAACTCATAGAAATCCTGGTTTCAACACCAGATGATTGAGAGGAAAAAAGAAAAAGGAAACAAGAAGGAGGACATGACTGCTTCTAGGTATAGTGGAGAAGAAGGTTTATTTTAGATAAAAGGTTAAATATAGCCAGAGGCTGAGACATCTGGGAGAGTCCAGAGTGAACATGGCCAAGCTGAGCAGGGCCATATGAGGGGAGAGGAGAAGGGAGAGTGAGAGAGGAGACAGTCACAAACCAAGAGAAGCTGCCTGGGCCAGGAGACTGACCAAGAGGTAAAAGGGCCAGAACAACCAGCATAGCCAAAATGACTGGATTATATAGGGATGAGCAGCTCGGGGAACGGCAGGCCAGTCCCTGGGCTGAAGGGTTCAGGGTAGGGGCAAGGTGTGCCAGCCAGGAGGACCCTGCAACAGCTGGAAATGGAGGGACGCTGGGAGAACTTGGCTAGCCAGCCTCAGCTTTGATGTGCTAACAAGCACAACACTTAGCAGTTTGTCCAGGTTTGAGACCTGACACTGTGACAATTTCTTTCCTCACCTTTTGTTTTTCTCACACAGTCCAGTTCTTGTTCCTCTTCTTCTACAAAACCTTCGTTCTATAAATCCCCTAGTACCCGAAGCCTTGCAACCAAAAGCCACTCCAGTGCTTGTCCTCAGGCTGCTGTGACGCCCCCACCGAACCCCCAACACAACACACCCCTGCTGTGTGCCAGGAGGTCCCACCCTTTGCTTCTCATTGGCACTCATTGCACCTGACCCCGCCCTGGAGCTTGGACTCTCCCACCTGCTGTTTATGACCCCAAACCCTCCAGCAACTCCAACTCCCATGTTCCTGTCCTCCCATGGAAACAAACTAATGTTCAACGCCTCTGCCGGTCCCTGATGAGACTTCACCCAGGCTTACTCATTTTTATCCAAAGATGTTTTCTGTAGGCCATGGCAAAACCACAGTGCCAGTCCAGGCATGTTAGCCCCATGCCCCAGCCTGGGGCTTCCTCCGCATGGGCTCTGACTGGGGGCTGTTTGCTCCAGGACCCTCCTTAAGGCCTAGGTGTCTAGTAAGCTAGACTTACCTCAGTCTGACAGGCATGTCTTAACTGTACCCCATAGGTCTGGGCACCCCAAGATAACTATGATCCAAAATTGTTCTATTTAAAACATTATCAAGCCTGCTTTTGCATTTTTCTTTGTAATTGTTCTTTGTTCTATGGTTCCCAAGTGTGAACTTTGTAGACAACAGCACGGTTTTGTAGTGTCAAAAGGTTGCACATGCCTACCTGTAAAGGAGCAGTTCTCAACCTGTGGGTTGCAACCCCTTTGGGGTAGAATGACCCTTTCATGGGAGTCGCCTAAGACCATTAAAAAACACAGATATTTACAATACACGTCATAACAATAGCAAAATTACAGTTATGAAGTAGCAAAGAAAATAATTTTTGGTTGGGGGGAGGTCACCACAACTTGAGGAACTGTATTAAAGGGTCGCAGCACTAGGAAGGTTGAGAACCTCTGCTCTAGAGGAGAGTCAGGCCCCTGACTGTGGCGGCTACCTGCAGTTCTTGCTTGTAGGCTCACATAGCTGGGGCGCTGGTTCACATCAGCCTGGAGAGGCTGGCTCTGTAGACCCAAGAGGGCAGGCGCTGGCTATCCAGAACGCCACTAAGATAACGTTTCTATGTTCTCTTTCTGCTCTCCCACCCTCCTTCGAACGAATGAATAAGGAATTGTCATTTCTCTCAGAAGCAGCTGTATTTTACCGGTGGATCCATGTGAGTCCCAGCGTTCGCACGCTAGCACTGACAACATAAATCGTTTTTTGTTTTTTTTGTTTTGTTTTGTTTTGTTTTGTTTTTAGAGATCTGGAGTTTGCGCAGTAGAAAACTGGCAATGTGTCACAGGGGTGGAGTTGGGAGGAGCTTGAGCAGCTGCTCCTCCTCTTTGTCTGTACTTTACACTCATTGGCTATCCCACCCCTGCTAGGCTGGAAACTGCAGATAAGACCAGGTAGCTGAGTTCCAAGCAATTCAAATACATAAGAATAGCACTAGCCACCACATAGATTTCAAAGAAAACACATAGCTTTCTCTGAAAGTTTAATGTGACTTATGTCATAATTCACTACAATTTGGACTTAAAGTTGTCACCTGGGAACTGCATATATGTTTAGCTCTCTGCTTAACATGGTGGAAGAGCTTATTCTCCAACCCTGTGGAGTATCACATAAAAAATTTAATCTCCAGCAGAGCTTGGTGGCATGCCTTTAATCCTAGCCATCTGGAGGCAGAGGCAGGTGGTTCTCTGTGAGTTCAAGGCCAGCCTGTTCTACAGAGAGAGTCCAGGACAGCCAGGGCTGTTAAAAAGAGAAACACTGTATCAAAAACAAAACTAAAAGAATCCAGTCTCACCCTGCCCAGTTGTCTGGATCTCTGTCCTGTTTGGCTGAATGGACTGGGATGTCTGACCTAGCCAGACATCATAATAGATTGTCCGTCCCTCTAAGTAAGTATGTGCCAAAATAGGTCCTGCTCAGTCAGCAGTCACTCAGAGGACAGCCCCCTGTATGCTGGAGAACCACTTGTTTCTATAGTGGAGGCTCAGTACAACAGGGGACTGCTTCCTCTCTGGGCTGTGGCCATGCCCAGTCTCACCTCATGCAATGCCAGCCCAGTAGCAGGCTAGACAGGGCACATTTCCCCACAACCTGCTTTTAAATGCTATTGTGTTTGAACTTGAACATCAGTTCCGAGGAGAGTATTCACCAGAAATCAGTAAGTTCTTTGTTTGTTTGTTTGTTTGTTTTTTGAGACAGGGTTTCTCTGTGTAGCCTTGGCTGTCCTGAACTCACTCTGTACACCAGTCTGGCCCCTAACTCACAGAGATCCACCTGCCTCTGCCTCCCTGAGTGCTGGGATTTCAGGCATATGCCACCATACCTGGCTTCAGTAAGTTCTATAAATCAAGATTTAGGAGTTTGGGGTTGTTTTTGTTTTTTGTTTTTTGTTTTTTTTTTTTGGTTGAATTTTTTTCTATCCAGTTGTTGAATCTAACAGTAGTTTTTCTGGGCATGAATGAGACATTGTTGAGTTTGAGCCAGGCCTTCATTCTCTGCATCCTTCTTACAATCTTACTCTAAAGACATGGAAGAAGTCACGTAGTCTTTTGTACATATGTGCACACACACACACACAAGACTCTTTATCTGGCTTTTCATTCCAACTTACAATGACAAAGTATGACCCAATCAGGAAAATCTGCATTGTTCTAAAGATCCACACATTAAAGCGGAAAAAAAGACTGAGTCTCAAAAGAGAATGTGAGTCATCAGCCAAGGTCTGGGTGGAGTTGGGAAGGAAAGTCTAGGATCCCCCCAGCGTTCCTGGAGTTACATCATATGGGAAGCCATCGTCTCTGACATCATATAAGTCTGCCCAGCTAGTAACTAACAGTACTCAGGCCATTTTCTCTCCTCCTGTGACTCAGAATGCTTCCCTGAAGTCCATGTTGACTACCACTTCGAATCTCACTGTCCTTGTGCCAACCCAGCAAGCCATTGAGGACATGGACCAGAAGGAGAAAACCTTCTGGTTGTCACAGAACAATATTCCAGCCATGATAAGGTGGGTGTCGTTTATCTTATCTGCCATGTTATGTGACTGGTGTCAGGGTGAACATTCCTTAATTCAATGCAGAAAAGCGACATGATCCTTCACAAGGATGGCCCAAGCAACCCTTCCCTGGGTCAGGGCAATTTATCTGTTAACAGCTGACTCTAAACCAGTGGTTCTCAACCTTCCTAATGTAGTGACCCTTTAATACAGTTCATGTTGTGGTGACCTGAACCATAAAATTATTTTCATTGCCATGTCATAACTGCAATTTTGCCACTGTTATGAATTGACATGTAAATCTGATATGCAGGGTGTCTGATACAGGACCCCCAAAGGGTTTGCAACCCACACTTGAAGAACCACTGCTAAACCAAGCAATGTGCGTTGTATATAACTTGTTAACCCTCCACACCTTTGAGATGGTTGTTACACTTTTGACATATGTGAAAAGGCACAGAGTGGTTAATGGCTAATTCCAGCTAAGGCTGACCACTGCAAAAGTGAGTGTGAAGTTTGAGTATGGGAGAACATGAAGTTTGAATGTCAGTCTGACCTCAGAGCTGATTCTCCTGTTGCATTTATCCCTGGTGCATGGATTTTTTTATTGTGACCCTTATGACTTGGGGCTTTAGACACCACACACTCCCAGGCACTTACGGAGTGGCGGATCTGCAGACCCTGTCGTCCTCACACATGCTAGCAACATCATTGCCGGGAAGCTTCCTTCACCTGGACAAGGCAGACGGGGTAAGAGCAATGTCATCTGGCTCTTTGGGGAATGGTACCTTTCTGAATTGTTGTGATGGAAATTTCCAGATATGTACACAGAGAGAATAGATGCCTGCGTGAGCATCACCCAGTTACAACAATGATCACACATACACATTTAAAGAAAGAAAGAAAGAAAGAAAGAAAGAAAGAAAGAAAGAAAGAAAGAAAGAAAGAAAG